ATAATTGCATTAAATTTGATGGAGGGAGCTAGACCCCCTTTCAGACTAAATGTTAACCACCTAAAAGAGAAAGGCATCCCAGTCTGGGTTGGGAAACAAATGAAGGCCTGGATGGGCGCAAAGGACTTGTTCAATGAGGAGGAGAAATGGGCGGAGGTGGGTCTGGGGATTATCTCAGCAGCTTTAGAAATCTTCTCTAGAATGAGGGCAGCTAATCGGAGTTGGGAAGAGAAGCTGATACAAGATGCGGTGAAGGAGGCTGAGGCGAAGATGGGGGGGGATCCCTTCTCCGAGTACTATTGGACCGAACAGCGGAAATTAAGTTTAGCCAAATTGGAACAGATTGAGGTTGGAAGGCACCAGGAATGGCTGGAATGGTTGAAGATTAGGGGAGTCATGGGGTATGATAGATTGACCAAGCTTACCTTCAGGACCCTAATCCTGAAACAGGCTAAGCCGGTGTTACGTGAATTAGTCCATCCTTTCGCTTTAAATGAACCATTGGCAAATACCCCTGGGGTCATGTGTGCTTACACTAAGGCCTATTTTCAGGATATAGTGACCTCAAGGAGGTCCTCTGACACTGTAGAAACAGACCTCTCACAGGCCTCTCTGTTTTGGGAGGGATTGAGATCAGGTATTCCTACGGAAGGTAGGGACCTCTTAGATGCCCCTCTTTCAAGTCATGAATTACATATTGCAGCAAAACGGATGGCTAAGGGGAAGTGCCCAGGCATGGATGGCCTGCCTGTGGAGCTGTTCTTAAGTGCCTGGGATGATTTTGCCCCGTTTCTAACCCAAATCTTCAATAATGCCTTAACATTTGGTCACCTGCCGAAAAGATGGCTGACAGGGGCAATCTCCCTCCTCTATAAGAAGGGAGACAAGAGGGAGGTGAGGAACAATAGGCCTATCTCCGTGTTAAACGTGGCCTACAAATTATTGGCCAAAGCATTAGCGATAAGACTTGCCAACTACTTACCGGGCCTAGTGGGAAAAGAACAAGGAGCGTTTGTGAAAGGGAGACTAATATTTGATAATATCTTGTCTACAATTCAAGCGCTGGAGGTGATAGGGAAGGAAAAAAAAGATGTGGCAGTCTTACTGCTGGACATGGAAAAGGCTTATGACAAGGTTGGTTGGGCCTTTGTCTTTACTTCCCTTACTAAACTGGGCTTTGGCAGGAATTTCTGCACATGGGTTAAAGCGATGCACATGGAGGCCTCGTCGGTGGTAATGGTAAACAACCATATATCCGATGAGTTCCCGCTGACTAGGTCTTTGAGACAGGGATGTCCCCTGGCCCCACTGCTCTTTGTCACCCAACTAGAAATACTTCTACATAATGTCAGAATAAATGAAAGAATAACTGGTCTCCACCTCCCCCCATTCATCCATTGGAAGGGAGGGCCGATAGCTGATGACCTTACCATCGCCTGCAAAAATGAAGTGGGCTGCTTGAATGAACTAAGAAAGACCCTAGACGAGTACTGTGAGCTGTTGGAAGCTTCCATTAATTGGGACAAGTCCGTGTTCTTTTTGCCCCACCACTACACTATTGCAGTCAATTGGGGGCTGCGACAGATCCCTGCGAACACTTCGGACAGTTTTTTGGGGGTCCAGGTATCACTTGCTGACTGCTCGGCTACCCAGGACGCTATACTGGTGGAGAAGGTGGCATCCAGAATTAATGGTTGGGTTCGGAACCACCAACTCTCGCTTTTTGGGAGGGCATTGGTGATCTCTTCTGCTGCATTCTCAATTCTGTGGTTCCCCATGTCGGTATGTTTGCTGGGAGAGGATGCATACAGAAAATTAAAACATGTTGCGGCAAAATACCTTTGGAAACCCCTGGCTGAAGAGAGCCAGTCATACATAGCAACGGCCGCGTGGGAATTGATATCCTGTGCAAGAGAAGAAGGTGGTCTGGGCATTTTGGATCCCAGGCAGCAGAACATAGCTCTGCCGGCCAAGTGGCCTATAGCAACTATGTTTGGGGAAGCTGACAAATGCTGGTTGCTGATGGCGGAATATATTCTAACTCACGAGTGGTCTCTAACGAAAGGGGCACATGTCTGGTTATGCCTGATGATAGAATCTTATCGGGCTAGGAGACTGGGTTCCAGAGTCTGGCACAATATCCTGTATGCATGGAAAAAAAATTGCCCTCAATACATTCAAGAGCCGAGGTCTAAGGATGAGATACTTAATCAAATCTTATTTGAGAATCAGTTTATTAAACACCAGGATGGAGATTGCTTCCTGGCTGACGGTAGTGCAGGCTCCTTTGGTAGAGCTTGGATTGAACACGGGGTGATCCAAATTCGGGACTTGTGGGATGAAGATCAGGCGGAATGGCTTCCAATAGCCAGGTTAAAGAGCACATTGCGGAGGCTCCGTAGGGTAGGCCCTCATTACGAAAAAATCAAACAGGCAGTCCCCCTCCATTGGACCTCAGCACTGCGGAAGGACAGCAACCTCAAGGCAGGAGTTTGGGTCAAAGATCCGGGACAAGACGACAAGTATTGGAAAATTGAGGGACAGGATCTTCGATCAGGGATCAAGATACAGAAATGGAAAAGTAAGGCTGGTACCGACAATACTTCCCTGCTGTTTGTTGAGGAAGGGACGATACAATCGACCCTGGGCTTGAAGGAAGTGAGGGTTTACGAAGAGGATAAAGGAAGGAGATCTGCATGCAGGTTAGTCCTCGGGGTTCATGATAGACTGGTGGTCAAACCACTGTTATTTGGCTGGTCCTCAAATACGCAAGTTTCAAAGATTCCGTTGTTTCAGTACAAAGCTAAGATAGGGGTTCAGTTGCAAAAGGATATCAGACAAAGAAAACCAGTGGATGCAGCAATGAAACGACTGGGGGATTTGCAGATATCGACAGTAAGGGAGACAGACCTCTTCAGACTATGGAAAGCTTTGAAGGAGCTGCCCTCTCAGAGACAGGCGGCGATTCAATGGCTCCAATCCCTTCACATTACACCCTCTGCAATGTGGTTGAATACGAGAGGTATGAATTTGGACTCTACATGTGCACGATGTAGTTGGGGTTGGGAAAATGCTGCACATTTGTGGCTGCTCTGCCCCCTGTCTGATGAAATCTGGGAATGGTGGAAGGAGTTTTGGAAAAAGACTTCAGTAGATTATAGTTGGGACGATGATTTCTTATTGCATGGTAAGATAAGTAATATAGGGAGTGCCTCTGCAGGATTAAACTATATAGCTCTCAGCTGCAGGGGAGTAGTGATGGAAACTATCTGGTCTGCACGCAATGCAAAGGTGTTCCGGAATGAGGTGGTTCCTATCCAACACAGCAGTAACCAGATCAAATATGGGTTGAGGATTTTGATACTCGCTGACTGGAGAAGAAAGAATTTTGTTTGGTTTTCGAAGACATGGGCAAAGAGTAATCTGGCATCTATTTCAGCAGAGGGGAGGATGGGCCTGGCTTCGTGGTTATGCTAAGTGGGAACGTATGGTGCCTCTGGGTTTGCCAGCCTGGGGCATTGGATCGCTTGGTAGGACCGAGGGAAAATACCCCCCTAAGCGGTTCAGGTCGTCTTAGGCCTGAAGATCTACGGTGAGAGGAGAACCGGTTTCCGGGAAGAGAGATACCACAGACTCAGAAGCTGGCTGTCAAGCTTCAAGGCAAATCTTAAGGTACAGCAGGTGCACTGAGGCATTACGAACTAGTCTGTTCAGATAGTTGCTTTTAATTCGTGCTTCAAGTTTTATCTTTTTGGAAAGTTGATTGATGGGACGCTGGACCCGGTTTCCAGCCGAGCTTTTGAGAAGTAGAGAGCAGGGGCACGGTTCCACTAGCACACGAGTCATGGCCTAGTGCGACGCCTGCGACACTCCAGAAAAACGAAGAAAACTCCAGAAAAAACGAAGAAAAGAGAAAAAAGAAAATTAAAGTGGTGACTTCTCAAGTCCCAAGGTGGGGACGAGCCCGACCTTTGGAAGTGCTGCAAAAGGCTGTGCCATCTTCTTGAACGGTAGAATGGACAGTGGATGAATGTATCCCTCGCAGAACGTGGCCAGATTCACTTCTTCCATGTTTCTTTATTGCCTGAGGGTGCACCTATGACAAGTGCTACGTGACGATTGCAGTCCGAGTCTCACGTACCACAGAGAGGGAGTGGAGTCCCTTAGTGTGCCCGACGGGACTGCCTCCTGTGACGGTTCCCATGTTCAAGCGTGAAGTCCTTATATTTTGAGAAAGAAATGAAGTACTCGAGGGTCAATACGAACGACTTAGAGTACTTGATTTCTTTTTTTGTTTTCGACAACCACCAATCAAAAACAGACTTGGTATTTCTTTTCCCCACATCCTGTTATTCACCAAAAAAACAAAAACAAAAAAAAGTAAATTAAAACACAAATTAAAAATATACAAACATCTTTATTTTGCTACCCCGGGATTTCGATGCAGCAACGGCTGGTGGATGTCCCCCGGACGTCCCACAGGTGTCGCCGTGCGACAATATACCTTACTCGGTTGCTAGTGGAACCGTGCCCCAGGTATACCTTACTCGGTTGCTAGTGGAACCGTGCCCCAGGCGGCTCGTAAGCCAAACTGGCTGAGGCTGCCAGGACTACCCCGGGTTGAATTGTGAGGCCCCCGGCCTCGTTCCTTTTGTTTGGTAATAAATGCCAACGCTTTCCAAAAAAAAAAAAAAAAAAAAAAAAAAAGAAAAGGCCTGAAAGGCCGTCCTGTCCAGATTTGACAGGTAAATTGAATTGGTTGGCACGTGACCACGTGTACATCTACTTGTTTTCTCATATATCTACAAATGTATATATGTATCGTCAAATATGGATATGATATATACGTCACATATTTACATACATAAGTGCATCCTTGTCTGGTCTGGGCTTGTGAACAGTTTTTTGTTGTCCGGTGTTTGCGGAGCCTGTTTGGCTGGAGGGTCGCCGAGGAGCTCGTGCGCCTTTGGACGTGTTGTCCGTTCGCTCAGCGAGCGGCGTGTGACGTCCCTCACACTCCCCAAACAGTGAGCGCGCGCTGCCCGGGTGCGCTCGCGCGGCCTCGGAAACACTGAGCGCGCGCGGCCCAGCCAAGCTCCTGTACAGGCGTAGGCGCGCCGTGTCCAGGGCGTTCTGTTTGGGTGAGATGCTTCCAGCGCCATGATGATGATGATGGCAGGTCATTCGACGATAGCACGTGTGGGCTATGGCACAGGACTGGTGGGTCTGAGCCATCACGAGCGCCGCGTTTTCGGCGTGGGAGGAGAAGCAGCGAAACCGTCAGGAGAGAAGCAGGCGCCGTCGATCGCCGCGTCAGGCCACGTGTCATGCGTGGGTAAAGCACACTACGTGTCTTGTGGGAGTAGGGGAGGACTACGGCGTTGTTCAGAAGGCGCCAGAAGAAGCACAGTGACTGCGGCGGCGGCCATAGCTTCTTCTTCTTCTTCCTCATCGTCGTCTTTGGCCGCCATCGCTTCTTCTCCCTCGTCGTCCTCAGGAGGGGCGCTCAGCGATGGACATGAGAGAGTAAATGCTTGCCCTTATTCACTGCTCGGAGGCCGTCGGCGGTCATCGAGGGAGGGGAGGAGACGGGATGTAGGAGGGGTTGGTGATGATGATGCCCTTCGCTTCCGCACGTGTCAAACGACCTCTAGGAGGGGGGGATGGGAAGCGGGGCGCAGTGCTCTGCGCCGGGTGATCAGCGGGGCGCAGTGCTCTGCGCGTCCGCGGGGGATCGCCAATCATCATCACGAGGTGCGAGCTTTGCAGCGAGCGTTAGATTGTGGCCGCCGGTCTCTAGAAGGTTCTTCTTCATATGTGGAATCGCGGCCTTCTCCGCTAATTGTTAGCGCTGCCGCGGCGGCTGCTGACGTGGCGCGCGCGGGTGTGCGATCGCAGATCGGATGGCGCTCGCCCCTCTTCCGCCTAATTGCCCCCAGTCAAGCGGAAGTCTGCAGAAGTCATCCGATCGCCTCTGCCTTACTCGTCGATCGTCATAGTCAGGAGCTGCTGCGCGGCCGTGTCTGTTGTTCTGCCGGGGCGTCGGCGACGGCTGGACGGGATCGGAGCAGCAGTCGGGACGCTGCCCCAGAGGAAACCGACTGGCGTAGACGCGGGTTGACGTCAGTCATTAAGAGGAGGGGCTTGATGGGTCAATCGATCGCGCGGTCAAAGGAGCCTGACGGCCGCGGGGAAGGCGGCGCGGACCGGGGAGGAGAGGGGTCGGAACTGCAGGAGTGGGAGGGGCAGTCTGATCGGATGACGGGATCCCCATTTGACGGTGAAGTCGAGGGGTACAGAGCAGAGTCGAAGCCAGACGCATGCAAAGCAGACGAGTTACACTTTGTCCGCGTCCCGCACACGGATTGGAACATTGCGTTATGGCGGTATAAACCTTACAAAAATGTGCAGTCTTCTCTCTTCTACCCTTCCCCCGCGCTCCCTCTCTCTCCCCCTCGTTCACCTTCCTTTTCTGTCTCTCCCCCCTCTCCCCCCTCTCCCCCCTCTCCCCCACCCCCCGCTTCCTTCCCTCTTTGACGTATCGGTTGCCTCGTTATTGTATCCCGTCTGGTCGTTTTTCTCTCTCTCCTCTCTTTTTCCCTCTCTCGTTCCTCTCTTTTTCCCTCTTTCCTCTCCCTCTGTCTTTTCTCTCTCTTCCCTCTCTCTTCCCCCCCTCTCTCTCTGTGAAAAAGCTGTTCTCGGTCAGTCAGATCATCATGATATATAGTGGGGGTGTCAAAAAATAGAACGCTTTTTTTTTTTTTTTTTTTTTTTTTTTTTGTTCCATAGGAATGTATTTTTAGTTTGGATACACAGGTTGATTCAATTCCATTTTCTCGATTTATGCGTGTCATCCTTGAAAGCGCAGGGGGACCATGCTCATCTTCTCCCCGCTCCCCTCCCCCCCCCCTTTTTGTAGGAGAAGTAGCCTACCTCTACCCCGTTTTGAAAAGTGGCATAAGAGCGCTCCTATCCGAGCCCTTTTCCCCGTTTGCGAGCCGCTTGATTGGCGGCCGTGAAGAAGACAGATCTGCCAGAAAAGAGATGACGGATCTGCGGGAAGGGACACACACAAAAAAAAAAAAAAGGTGATGACGGACGGATCGTGTAGGATCTGAACAGGGGGAGTTGTAAGGAAGAAGACGGATCTGCGGGAAGGGACACAAAAAAAAAAAAAAAAAGG